GTAACGGGCATCACTGGCCTGAAGTGGTGCGACCGGTAGACGTTGATTTATTTTTTATTTTTTTTTTATTTGTTTCTTTAATTTTTTTTTTTTTTTTTTTTGTTACGTATTTTGAACCATAAAAAATCTCCTCTACACCTCCTGTGAAAATTAAATTGTCTGGTCAATACTTTATTATATTGATATTTCGCTTCAACTAGATTTATCATAAATCTAAAGATGTGGGGAAATGACATCACGCGCACCTGTTTTTATACGGCCAATACACAAACATGGCCGCGCCTACTGATTTGTAGAAATCGGTGATTTAGCGATTTAAATTTTGTTATCATTCGTTTAATATTATTATTTGGCGGCAGAAAATTTGCAGATTTATTATTTATAGTATTCTTTTTCTGAAATCAAGTTTTTATTCTAACCTTGTCTTTCCCTTTAATTAATTAATTAAACCCCGCCCAATTTTACAATCAAGTGATTGATACGGTAATCACCCAATGAATGAATGAATGAACCAACACACGAATGAATGAATAAATAAATGAATGAATTAATTAATTAATTAATTAATTCATTCCTTAATTAATTAATTAATTCATTAATTAATTAATTAATTAATTCTTTAATTAATTAATTAATTAATTAATTAATTAATTAATTAATTAATTAATTAATTAATTAATTAATTCATTCATTCATTCATTCATTCATTCATTCATTCATTCATTCATTCATTCATTCATTCGTTCGTTCGTTCGTTCGTTCGTTCATTCATTCATTCATTGGGTGATTACCGTATCAATCACTTGATTGTAAAATTGGGCGGGGTTTAGCTTATGCAGGTCTTATTTTCAATTTCCAATGAATAAAGGTGATGATGGTAATGCTGATGATGATTCTGATGATGATGATGATGATTATGACATTAAAACAGTTTTAATATTTTCTTTATTTTAAATATAATGTGATATTCGTAAACGTCATTAACGAAGTTTTTCAGTATTCGATGCATAGAAATCACGTCTTTCTATTTTGCATTGAAATCATGTTTATTTATTTATTTTAGTTTGACCAGTGTACATAAATGACATGACATTTACATAGAATATAAAAGTGTACAAAGATACGTATTTTTGACATACATTTAAAATAAAAATCACCATCATCTTCAAAATAACCGGGTTTATAGGAACGCGTTTCTTTTACACTATTTATGATACAATCATTATTTATCTTACACACACATATATATGTACATTAGTACTTTTTCCTATATACCAATACGTCAGGTTATTCGAAAGCATCTTAGATCAATAATCATTAAAGTCGCTAACAATTCGTCTGCTAATTACCGATAACAAACGGTATCGCTGAGATCTTGTGTTTTGGCAAAGCAAGAGTTCTGAAGATATCTCATATTGCAGAGAAATATATATACAATGCATTCACAGCTATTTCTTCTTCATTTGTCCGTATTAGTTTCTACACATATATGACTGATACGCGGCGTATGGAAACCGTTTTTTTTCTCTCACAAGTTTCATAGATTACTTTTAACGTAAACTGTGAAAAATTCACTATTTTGCAGGGAAAATGTAAACTTTAAGATCAATAAATGCTTTTATAGATTGCTCTGTCCGTTTGTTTGTTATAATAGATATAATTTACATGCGTGTCGCACAAATCAAATATAATCTCTTTTTTTCATAATTTCAATAATCAAGTTTGACTTTATTTGTTAAGATATTTTTTATGAAACATATACCATATTGTTTAACATATGTACTTTAAGATAAATGAATGTATTATTAGATATTTCTGTCCGTTTATCCATGCTAGTGTCAACAGTTACATTAATAATTTGAAAAACGCGCGCTGCAAATAAAAACGCTTTTCATGATGTTTTATTCTTACGCAGGACGTTATTTACAAAGGCATAAGTTATTCAATATATTGTAGAGACGAATGTATACGTCAAGATACTGAAATACATCTTAAAACAACTCTGCCAGTTTGTCTGCTATAATACACATATTTCAGGAAAGTCGGACAATGCATATAAAATCGGTGTATTTCATTCTTTTATTATCAAGTTTGCCATTATTTATTACGCTATCGTCATGAAACATATACCATATTGTAGGGACATCTGAAAAATTAAAGTCAACTAAAGGAAACACTAATATATTTGTCCGTTTAAGCGTGATATTGTCCAGAAATACATTCATAACGAGGGGGGGGGGCACTCGCGCGGCTAATAAAGAAAAACAGTGTTTTTCTTGATATTCAATTCTTACAAAGGACGTTAGTAACTATGTTTCTGTTGCGGAAACAACTCTGTCCGTTTGCCTGCTAAAATAGCCCCACTAACATACATACATTCTAGAAAAGTCGGACAATTCAGACAAGTCCGTGTATTTCATAATTTTCAATAACCAAGTTTGACTTTATTTTTTTAAATGTCTTTTTGAAACACATTCCATATTGTAGGGACACATGTATTCTGTAAGATGAATAAACGCGATTATAAATATATTTGTCCGTTGTTCTATGCTATAACTCAGAAATGCAGGGATTATTCGGACAATTCAAGCAAATCGGTGTTTTCATAATTTTTAATTTTTATGTGTTGATTTATTGAGAAAAGTATCTTCATTAAACATAAATCCTATTGTAGGGAAACATACGGCGTATAAACATTACGATAACTGAATGCATTCCTATATATATCTGTCCGTTTTTCTATGATAGTGAATAAAAATAATTACAATTTTATAATTTGTTCATAAATATTAATTGATTTTTTGAGATATTGATAGAATATAAATATTATAAAAGAAGCTCCGCACAAATTTGTTCATAAGAATGGAATAATAACAACAACCACAACAACAACAACAACAACAACAATAATAATAATAATAATAATAATAATAATAATAATAATAATAATATATAATAATAATAATAATAATAATGATAATAATAATAATAATAATAATAATAATAAAGTAATAATAATAGGAATAATCATCGTCATCATCATCATCCCTGTCACAACAGCACTACCACCATCAATAATAATAATAATAATAATAATAATAAAAATAATAATAATAATAATGATTATCATTATATATGATAATAATAATAATAATAATAATAATAATAATGATGATGATGATGATGATGATGATGATGATGATGATGATAATAATAATAATATATAATAATAATAAAATATAATAATAATAATAATAATAATAATTATAATGTAATAATAATCATAAGAATCATAACATAGTTATAATAATAATAACAATAATAGAAATTAAAATAATGATTAAAAACAATAATAAATAATAAAAACATATTAATAAAAATAAAAATTACAATAATAATTATTAATAATAATAATAATAATAATAATAATAATAACAATCGTTAATAATAGAAAAATATATATTTATAATAATTATAATAATAATAATAATAATAATAATAATAATAATAATAATAATAATAATAATAATAATAATAATAATTGTAATCATAATAATCATAATTATAATAATTGTAATACTAAAAATAAAAATAATCAATATAATAGTAATTATAATAATAATAATAATAATTATAATGATAATAATCCTTATAATAATAATAATGAATAAAAGTAATGATTATATAAATTATAATCGCATCATGGAATTTTATTCTTCTTCCTTGTTTTCATTATTATTTTTATTATTATTATTAATATCTATTATTATTATTATTGTTATTATTATAATTATTATAATTATTACTATTATTATTATTTATCATCATAGTTATAAATAATTCGTAATCTCTTATTAAAAGAAAATCAAATGTATAACTGTAAAATAATTTGAAAATGAATCATTTGATGAAAATCCAGTTGGATTTTTTTCCAATAACTTTTATTGGAAAAAAATCCAGTTGGAATTTTTTCCAACAAAAATAATTGGAAATAAATCCAATCGGATTTTCATTTTTTTCAAAGCACCTTATTGGTAATTCAGGGTGTATAATTATGTTAATTTCTATCGAAAACTATCATTTGCCTTTAATTATTATCGCTTTTATGCTTTTTTAAATTTTTCTGTAAAAATCCAGTCGGAATTTTTTCCAGCTTTCAAAATGGGATTTTTTTATTTTAGAGAATAAGTTCTTCAAAACTAGTCAGAAAGTCATTAAAGGATGTATGAATGGTTATTTTTATAGTTTAAGCATTGCTGGAAAAATTGAAATTCCCGTTGGAATAAATAATAATGTTGGAAAAAATTCCAATTGGAATATAAGTAAATTCCGGCCGGACAGCATAATTCCGGGCGGAATACATGAATTTCCGCCCGGAATTTTTTTTTAAAATACAATTTTTGATAAGAAAAAAATTTAAAATAGTTTCAAATGAAGTCAATTATTTATAATTAACATTAAATCTATCAGATGAAATGATTTTTAAGTGTTTAGGGCAATTATAAATGGTAGTGAAGTTTGCCACTATCCCGGTGGTGCAAAGATTTTCCGGTGGCTGTTAAATGTAAAAATCATGTAGAAAATGAAAAAAGGCTTGAAAGACACAAAGGTAAGCTTATCATTTAAATTGAAGAAAAAACTAGAAAACCAGTGTTGATGTTAACAAAAAGTTAATGTCAACTTAATGCTGGTCTGACCAACGTTACAAATTGTCGTTAACTAACGTTGATTTTAACGCCTAAGCGCAAGTAGTTAACGCTGATAGTAAGCGTTAAATCCTTTATGTTAGTTTTGAACAACTGGGCCAAACATGGTGACCATGTCTTAATAACGACATTGTTAGTTGGCCCTTGCAACATCATATTTGTTTATGCAATAAGCCGCATTTGTTCCTGGCAACAAACCAACATGGTTGCATGACAGGTATTCTACCTTAAATGACCTCAGAAAATTTCATTTAGGCTTCATGCTTTCTAAACTAGATAAGAATTTGTTTATACCATCATTTTCATGGAGCCTGGCTCATTAAGGATTTCTTCCGTATGGTTGAGTTGTTCCTCTGTTGATATTGGAAGATAAACTCCATCTGGAACATCTTTGTTTTTCTCCCCACAACCATCAAGTCGTTTCACCAGCCCAGAAATCATTGCCATCATTTCGCGTTGACCCTGTTTTATGTCTTTCAGGGTTCTGAGTATTACTACATCACGACCTGAAACACCAAATAGAATTGAAAATAAAAAGGAATCAAGGGAGACAACAACCATTATAATGATTAATCAAATATGATTTTAGACAAATAATGTCTGGCTTAAATTTTTTTTACATGACTTGTTTAACGATCATTCTGAATTAGTGCTTAAAGTTAAACAACACTGATTTATTACTAATTAGTAGATTAAAGGTATTGATGTAATTAAACCAGTTATAATATTAAACATTGAAACACAGAATTTAATTCTGTATTTCTGTGATAACTAATTCCATATTTTCCAGTAAAAATACAGATATATAATGCAATAATACATTTACAGTATTGTTGTATCGAGTCCTGACTGTAAATACTTTTAAATAAAGAAAATGTGATATACATTTATATTTAATTCAAAAGCATGTTTTCAAAATAAATTAAAAATCATAGCGTCAGAGTTTAGCAACTTTTACTGATTAAAGAACAAAATATTTCTACCCGAGAGAATATTCTGAGCTTGGTCTGAGCTAGATGTCGATGATGATGATTTTGGAGACGCCTGAGGTTGTGGCCCTAGTGACACCTGATGAGGCTTTCGTGACGCCTGAGGTTGTGGCCCTAGTGACACCTGATGAGGCTTTCGTGACTCCTGAGGTTGTGTCGTTGTACACACGGAGTTTGTGGCCTTGAAGACTCATGAGGTGCAGTCTTGGTGTAGCCTGAGGTTGTGGCCTTGAAGACTCCTGAGGGTGAGGACTTGTAGACTTTTGAGGTTGTGAACTTAGAGACACTTTAGGTTGTGGCCTTAATGAAGCCCGAAATTGTGGTGTAACTTTTCGAGCTTCAGGATTTTTTTTTTTGGCGGAGTTGGGTAATCACCTTCACTCTCTTTCTCTGATTCTGAATCCATGAATCGTGGGTTTGGCCTTCAGTTTTAACAAAAAGGGTAACATATATATATATATATATATATATATAAACATAAAGTATTACATTTAAGAATCATTTACAGGATACTTTAAGATGAAACATTATTCCTACTTAATGTTTAAAAAAAATTAAAAAATAAACATTTTCATATCGGAGAGTTAAGGATTATTTTCACTCATACCAGGAGTGGACAATACGTTTTTGTAACAGAAATATTTTATGTAGCGCTTAAGCAAAACATTTTAAGTAAAAATTAAACTGTTTGTAAACAAAATGATCAATTCTAAAGTAAAGCAAGTCCTCGCACCAAACGTAGTTTAGGAATTTTTTTTTCATTGGTTATTTAATCTTTTAAACACAATCAAAAATAAATAATGATGTTGAAAAATTGATGAGATATTCAATATTTAATTTAAATCATAAATCTGCGTCATCAAAATGAGATAACATTTTACATTGTTTTACGACCAACGCTGTCATTCCAAAATTCCTCATGTGACATGTAAGAAAAATATCTAAAATGAATAAAATTGCAGCCGTGTGGCCAGTTTGTAGTTACATCAACATATATTTTGTGGCATCTTCACAATGAGATTCATACATATATTTTTGCTTGTTTTCAATTGCTAAATTTGAATGTTTTTAAATATTCAATTTTTTAAATGACAATTTAAAGTTAACGTCATTGGCTAAAAATAGCTTACGGTTGTGGATGTAAAAACGAAACTTGGTAACCCTTACATAATTATTTAAGACAATATGATTTATTTTAAGCCAAACCAGTGCATTTTAAATAGATTCTTCTGTATAATGCATCATGCCAATCAACAGCTAGTCCTTATAAATTAACAAAATTAATGAGTATTTTTTATCACCAGTGTAGATTTATGTACTTTTGTATCATAGATTTGCCATACATATGTGCTATATGATGCAAGCATTAACGTTCCTTAGATAATTGATATCGACATGTCTCATTGATATCTAGTCAAACACTTAATATTTGGATTTAATTTTAATTGAAACTAGATTTTTCGCCATAGAGCTGTAATCATAGTTTGGAGATAGTTGTTGACTGTTTATTCGTATGTTATGTGATAATATACTCAGGAAAATCACGAATGGTGACTGCCATCTGTTCTTAGTCATTTTTTTGTTTCAACCACGCATTAAATCATGTTACATTTCCAGTCGGAGCACTGTCTGAAGTATCAGTTGGCTGCGAAGGGATCGTACATAATCGATATCATAAGCAATATGTAATTAGAATGTTCCTTTTCGCAAGTAATTTCTTTGTATAGCATCAGAACAATTGAATAAAATTGAGTATTCTCTCTCAAAATTATCAAAATCATACTGACTTTGTAGTTTTACATTTAAAATCAAGCTTCAAAAATGCCACATAATTTGCGATGTAGACATTAATTTTATACATATTCATGTGTTTCCTTAGGACACTTATCTAAAACTTTTGACTTAGATGCTTTTTATATTTTTGATATGATAAACATGTATTTTGCATATCTTATTTTCTGCCTGAAAACAATTAAAAGGAGATTTACTTGATAAATATTTCAAAGACATTATACAAAATTACCTTATGTCAACAACGAGTTTAAAATTCTGCATATTTTTAATGTATAAATTTCTATGATCAATGAATAAAAAATCTTTTTAAAATAGCTTTAAAGTGATATCAATATTTAAAAATGAATAATTATTGATTTTATTTTCCGGGCCTAGGATTATTATAAAAATAACACTTGGCTGTCGGCGTGATAGAGGTTATTGTCAACACGAGAACTGGTATATTACCCTGAGGCGTAGCATACACCGAAAGACAAACAACACAATATTTAAAAAGTACGCAGTCAAGGGAATAAGAATACACATTTATTTTTTATCAAAACAATAAACTTAATAAAAACTGTACAAAAATGATTTTATACATTTCTATATACATTTGGGATACAATATGCATCTATAATTCTTTAAATATCAAATGTTTAACTATTGTAACAAAGTCTAGTTAAACTGAAACATTCATGTATATGGTGTTATGCAAGAGCTACGTGCCACGGGGCGATATAAGAAATATCCCGCGGGGAATATATCCTAGGACGAACATTTACTATGGCAGATTTCTGAAATTCTAAATACTGTCGCATTGTTTTGCTTCACTTATTCTAAAAAGCATGTTGTATGTAGCATTTTATAATAAATTTAAATCTTTAGCGCGAATGTATTTTAATGCCAGCTGTAATATGTTGTTGTTCACATTTATTAGAACATTTAGATCTGATAGTATTGCCTGTTTATGTCGCATACTAGGAAACATTTATTTTTATGCCAGAAAGGCAGCAAAACTGTATTTGAGAGAGAGAGAGAGAGAGAGAGAGAGAGAGAGAGAGAGAGAGAGAGGGGGAGAGGGAGAGAGAGAGAGAGAGTCTGTTTACTTGGGTATTAGTGTAAGATGCTTGTTACCTGATGGAAAAAAGCGCTAAAAGAAAATTTTTATTCTTCTTCCATTCAAACACTTAATCATTATAGCTGTACTTTAATTGCTAAAAGCAATCAGTTAATCGGCAAATGGGTTAATATTTGAAACAAAATAAAGTACCCACAAACCCTTTAAGAAATAAAAACAAACGCATTTCTAAAGCACAAATGGTCTTGAAATACATAAGAAATACGGCAACTTATATTTTTTAAAAATTCCAGGTGAAGTCAAGGTAAATATCACGTAAGTTTTGATAATGTAATTTGATTGCTTCACAGATTGAAATATATTAGACAAAATCCCACAAATGTGTTATATTACATTCGGTAAATCAGTTGGTAATGTAACGGAGAGGAAACACCGCATGCCATTGTTCGTCAATACGTATGAGAAAAGAACAATATTGCTAAAATCGTTTCAAAAATACGAGTTGTCAGTTATCAGTAAATACACTAGCAAAAGGAACATATGCGAAAGACTAAAACCAAGTGCAGAAGAACGTGCCAATAATTGCCGATTTTATTTAGAAAGGAATAGCGTCTCATTAATTCATGGGTTGTTAGGATACGCCAGAAGTGTACCACGATATCTTGCTTCATTAACAAAAATATGAATAAAATTCCTTTTTATTTTAAACTTTTCATAACACTTTTTATTACTAATAAACACAGGATAAAATAATACAAGTGTTGCCTTTGATATTCACTTTCTGTGTGAGTAGCATTGTGAATAAAAAATGCATTGTGAATTAAACAAGTTTAATAAGAATGTTTCTTTATGTTGAATACTCTTATGTTTTACATGAGTTATTTTTCATGCAAAAACATACTTACCTGCTTTTTAAGTATGTCTTTTTCTTCAAAAAAAATTATCAGATGACAGATTAACTTTCAGGACTGTCACACTATTGCCTACCATGTCGTGGTAACATACTTGACTGGAATGCATAGACGAGATTTATTCCAGATCATCCAATAAAGGATATGAATAGAGGTTTACTTCTACCAAAGGAGATGATAATTGTGTACATTGATTTGAGAAGTATTGTTTTTTTATAGCTTTTGTCGTCAGTTCTCTCAAAAATAGCTTTGTGGCCTTCCTCTTTGGCAATAAAGACATAATCAATAGCACCATTTTTCGTTGTTGGCATCATTGAGCAAAGACCCACTTCTAAAATTACCAAACAAAAATCGTCTGTTTTCATTAAACAATTTATATAAAAGATATATTTGCATAGTATATTTGTCTTGCTTGCAAGCCATTTTTTTTTTTTAGCATATTTCTTTTCTTTTTTAATTCAAGAGATCCTAACAATTATTTAGTATTTATATAATGATTTTCACCCTGATCTATCCTTTAAATGTAATTTTATATATCTCATACCTGCCTGCTGAGATGATGGAAACATTTTTTGTTTATTTATTTTTTTTTGTATAAAAAAAGTATGGAAGTTAGAACGACATTTTTCACATTCTATATCTTCAGAAATTACTTGTTACTTGTTCGGTTTCATTCCTCCGTGTGGTAAACATTAAAGTACAATCTCAATAACTTCCTATTGTAGTAGGGTGAAATTTTACCATCATATCTAAATTATATTTCCGTTTCAAAATAAATATGCTTTTACCATTGAACCACTTTTTGATCTGCATACGCCTTAACAGAATATTTTATGAAAGTCTTTGTCTACGCTGCATATTTTGATAATAAAAAGCCGTTGTTTCTAAATAATTCATTTATTCTGCTGTTCTAAAAGCTGTTTTTTTTATGACTTAAAAAATCATTTTGTTTTCCTAAACACATGCTACATTAAACTTAATTATAAAGATAATAATAATAATAATAATAATAACTTTATTTACCGAAGGTTAGACATATACAGGTTGCAACATCTTATTTACAATGCGGCTTCTTAAATAAAAAGATAAAATAAATACACAAGCAAAAGACCACATATCAATCAAAGAAAATATTACATGTAAAAGAAATGATTAAATGGTTATCATAAATTTTAACATATATTAACACATATACTGAACATTCATACAATTCATTTTATTATCATTAACATAATATTTTCATCAGTGGCATCATTTTTAATCTGCAATTTAAAAAGTAAAATTAACTTACAAAAATTAACAAAATTAACACAGTTCAAAAAACTTGAAACTAAGACATTATTAGAAAACATAATAATAAAAAAACACATGTATGAATATAAAGAGCGTATCTTGCATATAATACATACGGACCGTGCTTAAAGTTGATTAAAATAAGTATTTCTTGAAAACTATTCTTAAATATTGACAATTTTGTTTGTCTTCTTATAGTCTGTGGTATGGAATTCCCCAAATAACCATGGCATTAAATTGAAAATGTGTCATTAAAATAATCAGTACGTGGTTGGTAAGACGAAATTAAATTTCCGTGAGATATCCCGATCTTAGAATTAACTTTTTGATTTATTAGATATGGTAAGT